GGTTAGAGGGAGAAGCAGACTCCCCGCCGAGCAGGGAGCCCGATGTGGGACTCGATCCCGGGACTCCGGGATCACGACCCGAGCCGAAGGCAGTCGCCCAACCAACTGAGCCACCCAGGTGCCCTGATGTGCCACAGTTTATCTACTGGTCTGGTGAAGGACATTTAGGCTAATTCCAGTTTTTGGCAAGTCATATTTGTGTTCTGAAAACATTCCTTTGACCACAGTATGCAGGTTGGGACACAGGGCAGTCAGAGTAAATGCAGAGAGACTATTAAGGAGGATAGAAGTAATTCATACAGGAACTGAGAACTCCCAAGACAAGTGCTTCTCAAGTGCCAGAGGGGAGGAGAGTGATCTTGCCTCCCAGGGGTCACTGGGCAACGTCTGAGACATTTTTGGTTGTCAGAACTAAAGCAACTACGGGTACCTAGTAGGTAGAGGCTAGGAATACCACTAAAAATTGCACAATTTACAGAAAAACCCTCACAAGAAAGAATTACCTGGCCCCACGTATCAATAGTGCCAAGAGTGATCAGCTTTGCCCTAGACTAGTGTGATGACAGGGGAGATAGGGAAGAATGAGTAGATTCAAAAACTGGATATGGGGCATGACTTGCACAACTAACTGTAGAGATGGCTATGCATTCACTAAGATAGGGAATATGGGAAAAGGTCAAGATGTCTGAAGTCTTCTTTTTGGGGAAGGGGTATTATGCACTGTTTAAAATTGGACATACTGAGTTTAAGCTCCTGGAAACACCCAAATAGAGATACTGATGTGGTCTGCGGTTTAGCAGTAAGTGTAGGTTTCTTCAGTTTACTGACAGTCTCTAAAGTCATGTTCTGGGATAAGGTTATCTAAGAAGAGAACACCAAGTGAAAAAGAAAAGATGACCCAACTGATCCTTGAAAAAGTGCCTGGCAGAAGATGAGCCTGCAGAGAAGAGTGAGATGACCAAAAAGGAGAAAACCAGGAGAATGTGGTGTCCAAAAGCCAAAGAAGTTCCAAGGTGGGAATGGGCAGCAGTGTCAAATGCTGCAGAAATGCCAAAATAGGGTGGTATCTGAAAAAATGCAGTCCATTTTCCAAACTGAAGATACGAACACAGTGAGAGCAGTTTCCATGGAAAGAGCGGGGCTAGAGGCCAGTTTCAACTGGACTGAGTAGGAGAAGGTGAGGTAGAAATACACAACACTTTCAAAGAGTTTAGTTGTGAAAGTAGAGGCAACATCTATGGCATTTAAATAGAGACCAGGGATCAGGGAGGCACCATCTTTTCATTCAGTACCTCTACACCAAAGGGAGATAACCTGGAACACAAAGAGCCTTCTGGGGACTGCATTGCTCCCTGCCAAAGCTACCTCTTTTCATCTCCCCATTTTCCTCCTTACAGATGCTACCAAATCCTTACACTGGCCACTGGAAGTCACATTTAAAGATAATCTTGATCCCTAAAATTAATGAATGTGTTGGCAAATAGCGTGTGCAATAAAAACAACTTATAACCTGCAATAAAGGGTCAATTTCTTTCAGTCTTTAAAAGACACACTAAGAAATGGCTTAATGACGTTATCAGGCAAATTTTGTGTGCATAAATATTATGCCTTCTTACTGAAGGAAAGCTACTGTGATAACAGTGAAGTGTCAGCTGGTAAAGGTTTTAGTGCATACCGCTCATCAGCATAAAAAGTGTTACTAATGTATCAACTTTAAAGAAAGTGATGAAAATGGCTTAGAAAATTGAGTCCTCAGTCTCTGGCTGACCCTCCTCTTCCAATTTGCTTCCATTGTGGTTTTTCTGGTACAAAGTAAATGGCTACTTATAAGAATACATAAAGAAATGGAATAATGCAGCTTTGATCAAAGTAAAAGCATTAAAAGCAATTATTATTGATGTTCTAACAGATAACGAACTCCAAAGCAGGATGTGAGTTTTGTCTCTACATTCTCAGCTCTGATACCAAAATAAACTTCCATAAATGTTAACTGAATGAAATAGTGGCTGTGAAGGAAAAAGACCGGAACGCCAAAATGCCATGCTGGCAAGCAAGTACGTATTGTCACTCAAAAACACCTACTCTTGACTGGCAGAAATGGATATAAATTTTGCCAATCTAGGATAGGAGCTATCTTGCAAATTTGCCGGAAACCGGTCCCAAGAACGAACAAAGAGCAGAATGCAAAAGCTGGGGGAACCTAGGGGAAAATAAGCTACTTCCCACTGCCGTTCCCGGTGTGTGGACCCAGGAGTCGGGAGAAGGCGGGAACAGCCGAAATCCTGTGCCTGGAGACAGCGGCCTCCCCGCAGGCTCTGCCACGTCTCCAGGCCGGGCTGGGCCGGGCTAAGGTCAGCGGGCGCCTGCCGCCCGTCCCGCTCCGGCCGCCCGCGCGCTGGAAGGCGGAGCCAAACGGCCAGGGGCGCCGGTCTGGGTCCGCGCCCCGGAGCAAAGGGCCGGAACCAGACCCAGGACCCGCACCCACAGTGCTAAGCGCGGCAGGGACTGCTTGTCTGGCCAAGGGCCCGCGTGCCCCGGCCGCACCGTGCACGCTCGCACAGCCCGCGCTCGGGACTCGACGACTGCGGGGCTCCGACGCGACCCTAACCATCCCGCGGCGCCGGCCGGCCCGCCCACCTGGCAGGGACTGCGCCCATTGGCGCCCGCATCCCATCCCGCCGCCCGCCAGCACCCGCGTCGCTGCTAAGCTGACGCTCACCTGGGGGGCCCGAGAGAGTGTCTGCGTGGCAGCTGCAAAGTGCGGGACAGAGAGTTCGGGATGCTCAGACTACCGCTCCGAGAAGACCACGAAGATGCCGGCAGGAGCTCGCGGCCGCGCG